GACATAGGTTTTTTATAAAATACAACCAAAATTTCTACAAAGTAAAATAGACTGAAAATTATAATTTTTAAATTTTATTAGATTTAGTGGTCAAAGCCTGTCAGATAGTTGTGTGGCTTCTAAGTACACAGTGTACTACTATCTGAGTGCAGGCTGAGAACACCACCAAGTAGCATTACTTCAACACAAAGAATTTATTTTCCTTGATCATTAGGATTTTTGCCTCTATTTTTCATTATACAGTAACTGTATTCTTCTGTGTTGCTCCCTGAATAAAAACCAAAGTTCCCTTTGACCAAACTGCAAATCTAAATCATGGCCTCAGAAGTAACTTACCAGATGGGTCTATTCTCTGCCTATCTTTTCTGTGTATAAATGCATGAACTACTTTGTGTGTCCACGTCATGCATTTAATATTACTAATCTTTTACTCTTGCAAGTCTGAGTAAAATAAATAAATCACCTTGGTCATTCACATTTACCCAATCACTATGTATACTGTTTCCAGGTTTGATAGCCATTTAAATTTTTTTCTGCATTGTTTCTGATATCTTATGCTTTCTATATTCTCACCTTTAAATTTTTAGTATTTATTTTATATATAGTATTTTCACTACTTTGATACTTGCTTTTTAAATAAAGAAATGTTTATGAATGGTAAGGTTTCCCCCTCCAATATTAGTTTTGTGTAGTTTGCTTTTGAATATTTCATGGTTTTCTTAGATGACAATTTTTTATCATAGGTAAATTCAAAGATGTAGCAAATGATTTATTTATTGTGTTTGAGTACAGATGTAAGTGGGTGCCTGTGTAGGGCAGAGGACAATCTGTTAAGAGTCCTCTTTTTCCATGTGGGTTGGGAGAACAAACTTAGGCTGTCCAGCTAGCTGTCTAAACCCAATAAACCTGTCACTAGATGTGTGGAGCCACTTTTGCCTGTCTGCTTTAATCACTGATGTATATGATACCACTCTCAATACCATAGCTTTTATACTGTACCTTTTTATTGTTGCTAGGCCTAAAACCTAGTGGACCTCAAACTCTGTCCTCCTGCCTCACTCACTCCAGTGTTCACATTTCAGGTGTGTACCACCACTGGGCTCCACTTTAGTATGCTTTTATAACTGAGACAAGCTCTTCCAACACATTTTTCCTCTAGATTCTCTTTGCTATTTCACTGTAAGCTCAGGATTATCCCAAAATCTCATTAGAGTAACTGGTACTGAGTTTTATAGCTATACTCAGCCTCTTTATAATCTTTGCAGGTTCTTGCTACAATGGGTTAAAGTATTGCTTTCATAGTCACAAATAATCTCAAGTTTTTAGTGCCTGTTATTCAGTAAAGATATATTTTTGCTTTTGAAGATAAGGTCTCACTGAGTTAACCTAGGCTAGCCTGAACGTAAAGCTGTTGCCTCAGTCTGAGTGCTGGCATTATAGCTGTGAGCTACCATATTGGGTTATAGCTCACATATCCTTGCTGGTTCCTGTTTCATATGTTGCCACCATCAGTTTTGCTAATTGCTTAATTATAGGAAGAAGAGGAAAGGCTATGAAGATGATGACTATGTATCAAAGAAACTCAAACAAGAAGAGGTATGTTTACTCCTAAAGGCAAACTTTTATATAATTTTTACATTTTTCTGGCATGACCTAAGTTAAGATGTACTGTTCTAGAGTAGTGTAAGCATTATAGACAGGTGGGGCCATACATGATTTTCTCTGTAGCTTTGGAATCCGTTCTGGAACTAGCTCTTGTAGACCAGGCTGGCTTCGAACTCATAGAGTTCGAAGAGCACTGCCTCCGGAGTGCTGTGATTAAAGATGTGTGCCACTACCGCCCAGTTCAAGGGGCCATAAATGTTTTAAACACTGTCCTGCTATGTAGCTCAAACTGGTCTTGAACACCCAATACTCTTACTTCAGTCCTCCCAACGAGTATCTCTGAAGTTTGAAATTACAATTTTTTACTCATCTCTTTATGTGCAGTCTGAATCAAGAAAAAACAAAACCAAAAAGAAACTTTATTTGAAAGATTTATTTTGGGTACCAGTCAGGGTGGTTAGAATCCACAGCAGGGAAGGTAAGGCAGAGGGTGAGAGCACTTGCAGCAGTTGTTTGTTGCTTGTTACAGGACTGACCAGGAAGAGGAGGACGTTGTCTGGCTTTCTTTTTTTTAAGGGATTTGTTTTTTTTTTTTACACTACTGTATGAGCCAGTTCTAAAATTTGAAGAGTCCTTCCTATGTTAGAAGGCAGTGGTGCTAAATTTAATCTTATTCTCGAAGGATTCTTCCCCCTTGCCCTACCCATTTTTAAAATTGTCTCTGAAAGTCAAAAATAAATAAGGAGAGGCAAAAGGATAGCCTTCATAGAACTCCTGCTTAGAGTGGGTGGCTGAGTCCTGTCATAAAAGTCAGGAGCTGAACTAGTAGCACACTCCTGCAGTCCTAGTCCTTGGAGGGGCAGGAGGATTTAAGGCTGGCTGCAGCCCCAGGTGGTCTCAATAAGTAAATAAATAAATCTACAGTAGACTGTTGTCAGTCAGCATTTTCTCAAAGGGAAGTAAAAAAACTGGCTCACTGCTTCAATGTTACCCTTACCACATTTTTTTCCCCCTAGGAGGAATGGACTGATGATGACCTGGTAGATTCTCTCTAACCATTTGAAATGACTACAGCAGTGCTAAGCAGCAGAAGTAGGAAGCATGTGTGACATTTAACTTTCTTTTTAGTACAATGTGAAACGTCAAAATAATTAAACCTTTCTAATATAGTTTTTCTTTGTGATCGTTTTATATAAAATATAACTTCAAAAGAGGCTGAACATCATTTATTTTGGATAATCGTAACTAAGTTTAGTAGCAAAATGTCCTCCTGTGGTGGCCGAAGTCGTAGTGCGGTGTACTTCCTTATGCTGTTTTGAACAAAATGTGATTAAACAAACCTATCCATTTAAAAGAACTACAGAAAAACCAAACTTAGTAACAGTAAATTTTAGAAGTGCTAAGGAAATAGTTTTCATTCTCCAGAAGGTCTTACAAATGGCTTTTCAAAATGTTTCCTCAATAGACTGAACTATTTATGAATTACTGTGAGCTATAGAGTGTATTGGGCAGTTATTTAGTGCTTAGGTGCTAAACCTTATTCTAAGTTAAATAACTTAAGTTACTGACATCTGGGTTTAAATAAAATTTTTGAGTCTAGATAAAAATCTTAACCACAGGTAAGTTATAGCAAATTATATATTCAGTTTTATCATTAAATGATTTATAAGTGAATCAATATAAAATAGGCATTACTGTCACTAGAAATTTGTAGATGAAATAACATTCAAAAGCTTAAAAATGAAATAATATAAAAACTCACAACATGGAATTACATTATTTAGATATACCTTTGTTTTTCTATGACTTTCATGAATTATACTTCAGTTCTAGCAAGTAGAAAATGGAGAAGACCGTGATGTCTACTCCTGGTACCCACAGCAGTGCATGTATTTGTTGTTTGTTAACACTGTCGTAGTGTAGCAAGTAGTAGATATCGCCTTAGGACCAAAGTGAAGATAGGTATGTGTTTATTAGGCCAGTATTTTGTTTTGGTTTCTGGTTTTTGGATTTTTCTCTACTCCCCTCCCCCTGCGAAAACTGCCTTGAAGGAACTATGAAACTCAACTACCTCAAATGTAAATCTACCCAAAATCCACCCAGCTTTACACACTCGAGGATACATTTCCCAGAGGGTAGGTAGCATTTTAGTTCTGTCTAAAATAATGGTGATTTATGCTCATGTTCATCTCTAATAATTACATGTATGGCTTGAGTTTCTGTTTTCTTTCTTGTTCTGGAGTAAAACTGATAAAATGTAATGCTTTATAATAGACTGAAAACCAAAGCATATACGTCCAGTATAATTCAAGTTAAGCAATATGATAGACTATAGACAGAATTGCAAATGTTCAGCATGTCTTCTGTTCTTTTAGAACACTAAAGTTTGACACCAAAGCACAGTTCACATGTACCTCTGAATATTTTCTACCCAGCTCCATTAAAAAAAAGTCTGAAAGGTCACTAACCACCTAGCTACCACAGGGCCCATAAAGGTAAGAAACAAGCTTCCCACTCTAATTTAAGACACGAGCATGTCAGTAAAACACAAAAATAAGGATAAATCTTTCAGACTTCTTTAAAAATAAATGGTTAAAAAAGAAAAGCATGTCTGAAATGGTGGATAGGCCATCATGGCTGAACAGTCAAGTACAATTAGTGAGGATAAACTAAAATGCTTTAAACTTGACCTATTTTTGAAAGTCCTTATCTACATTAAACAGTCTGTAGCCCTTCCACCTTGCAAACCAAGGAAATAAGATGAGTTACTGTCATAGTGCAGCCAATAAGAACAGGAACTATAATGGCTTACAGAGAAAAAGGGACTGCATTGATTACAACGCAAAACACAGTTTGTGGTTTTTTGTTTTTGTTACTACAGTTAATCTGGCTGAAACTAAATAAGGACAGTAATTTCGCTTTATGGCTACATTCAGACCCATATTTAAGCCAGGGAAATCTCAATAGTAGTATCTAACACCTTTCAAAAGAATACATTGAGGCCTCTTCAGTTTGTTCCTCAGCAAAGGGAAATAAACCCTTAATTATTTAACCACTTTCAGTATATACAGTATCTCTGAGGAATGCAATCAAATGTTTTTGGAATCTAGGCCTTCAGGAAAACATTTTTATTGAGGGAACATTTTATTAATACCTTCCTTGGTGTTTCTTTTTAAACAAAAACCTATTCTCTTTACTAAGGATAGTCTGATACATACTGTTTTTAAGTCTTCAGCACAAGACATGTTGCTTAACAAGTTGTACACTGAGTGAATAAATAAAATCCTTTGTGAAAGAAACAATTAATAAAAATCCTCCTGGGCTTTATTCTGGTATTAAAGCTTGAACTATCCCTAAGCAGAAGAAAATTAGAATGAAGTTAAATAGTAAGATGATTAATTATGTAGGCTATCCCTTGGTTTATTTTAACTTAACCCTGTGGATACTTCACAAAAAATACAGACATAAGAACAGGTGAATTATACAAACTAAATTATCCAGCAGTAAAACACGTACAAGAAGTTCAAAGATGTATAAGTTGTTAAGTGGCTGATGAGGTTGTCTGCATAATTAATACAGTAACAAAAAAATCATCTTAGGGTAGACACAAGTATTCTAGCAGTTTGTCTAAACATAAAAGACATCAGTAATCTATAAAATGGTCAAATGGGTAACATGCATTGATTGGTACAATGACCAATAATATTTATTGAATTTAAACTATTTACTTGTAAACATTTTAACAAAACCATGAAATCTAAATACAGTCTTTGACAATTCCAACAAAATAAGTGGTATGTTTAAAAAATAAAGCTGATGAGCATATATTCATCCATTCTATATATTGTCTTTCAACAGTTCCAGGAAGAATAGCACAGTATTTTTAAAAAGTATACAGCAAGATTGTTCCTATTATAATGTCAAACTCTGGAAACTGTAAATACAAATAAATTCAGTGAACAGTCAAATGGTCATATTCTTTAGAAGGAAGAAATTACAGTAAGAACAGTCTGCAATCCAGTTAAATTCTGTTGTCAATAGAATGTGTTTTCTTGGTCAGTTGATTTCATAGTTCGTTTTCCAAAAGACAACAAAACTTTGGCAATGGATATACTGAAAATATATTTTCAAAGTTCAAGACATAGCTTTTTTTTCTTTATTGTGAAAGTTGAACTGTACACCAAGGCTCAGAGTTTGGTAAAGATTCCATGTGGAAAAAGTGCAAATATTCTGCACAGATAGCTTACAAAGGTGCTGGCAGTTATTAGCCAGCAGAATCTTGGGTTTTTGTTTGCATAGCTTACACATCACTGGAATGTGGAAAGGTGTGCTAATTTTTTTTTCTTTCTCTTTTTTTTTTATTTTTTACTTTTTGGCAAGAGCAAAGGAGACATAGTGATGTGAATTCCCATGTTGGGCGTGCTGATCCATGCAGAACAACAGGCTGCTACCTGACATCATTGGTTTTTGTATACTGGTTTTGTTTTTGTTGAAGCAGTTCTGTTATAGCCAGAAGTTTTTTCAGTACATGCTAGACACAAAGAAAAACAGTGTGAGTAAAAATCATTAAGCAGAGTCCAAAATTTCAACACAAAAATTTTAATTTAATAAAAACTATGTCAAACCAATAGGATTCTTAAGGACCTAGCATTCTACTCCTTACATAAAACTGAGTTCTGATTACTTAAACTGAGCATGTTTAGTTGTAACCAAGAAAGAGACAATCTTATATCACTTTATATTTGCCATTATAAACCTCAGTCATAAACTAATGTTTTCCAATTAGAACTCTATTATTTAGACTGTTTTCTAAACTTAAAAAAAAAAGTGAGGATTCTAGAATCTCAGGTTAAAAAAATAATCCATAATCACTGTTTTAATTTCTTTGTGAAATCTTTGCCAGACAGGAAAGGGGTGCAGTGGTAGCATATAGGATACATGTACCCTGATTTATACTTCCCCAATGCCTTTAAGCTCAAGAAAGACTGTCTGTCTCCAATGACTAACACTAGGTCAGTTAAGAACCCTTCCCAGGTCTAGTCCTTATTTGAATATACCCCTACATCTGTTGGCAAGGACAGCAGAAATCTATTATGGACTAATATTTTTTTAAGGTGTGAGCTATGATCCACACCGACTTGAATCACTATAATAAAAGTATCAACTGTAGACATTTCTCAAAATTCCCATATATTTCTCCTGTGTTTGACAAGTAACTTCACTCATGTATACTTGGTGTGAGAGTTGACTGAAGGACTAACACGCCTTCCTACTGACAATAATTTACTTGGCAATTTTATGTATCACTTGCCATTTTTATGTGTACCATCTTTTATGTAAAAGCATTACCATTCTGTAATGACCTACCTGCTGTGCACCACGCTCATTACTGAGTGTTCTCAGTTCATCTGAATGAGCTACACAAATCTCATGCAGGGCTGCTAAGTCACGAGACAGGTCAGTTCTAGAATGTTCTGTAGTGTCCGGAAGTTCAGGTACATTCTTTAAGGGAATCATAAAACTGCATTTAGAAATAAAAATCCTTGAAGTCTTTTCTAAAATTATCCTAACTACGTATAAAGCATTGATTTTCCTAAAAATTTTTATTCAAATAATTCTGCTAAACAGGTTCTAGAACCTCTATTCACAATGAAGGAAGCCGGGTTCCATACTCTTCCATAGGATAACAGTTATCTTGAGTTGATTTTTTTTTCTTTTGAAATTTAGAGCATATGTCAAATAAATAGTAACATCATTAATTGCTGATTTGGATACAATTTCAGTGCTTAGGCTGAATAAAACTAATTTACTGTATCTAAACTGACGAGCATCTAAAGAGGAACTACATTAAAGTGTAATAAAGGGTTCCTTTGCAGTTTCTGTAAACTACTCAAGATAAAAATGTGGGATCATTGGGCATTATAGTGTTTAACATTCGTGGTGTAAATTACCCATCATGATAAATTTATACTACTGTATTACCTTAAATGCCAGTAATATTTTAGGCCTTAAAAACTGAACATGTTGTTTATTAATCTTAAATGTATTCTACATTTTAGTTACAGTGTTTGTTAGACACTCCTAAAAGTTAAAGAGCGTTTTAGTTGTTTGGAGTAAAGAAATAACTCAAATGCATTCATTTTAACTGAATCACTGATTCGTTAGGTGATTTGAAAAATAAAAAAAAAAATTGTAAGATGAAACCCATTACAATCTTGCTTCCCTTCACAGAGCTTGAAGATTAGTAGAAACAACAAAAAGTCCAAGGAAAACTGACTAACTATATTTTTATTAGAAATACTCCAAATGGAATTTTCACAGGAGTTTACACAGAAGTTTCTTATAAATATGGAGCTTATTATATTGTGCTTACTTGCACCCCCCTTTTTTGTCAGACTGGTATGATAGTGGTGACATGTGCTTTGAAATGAATCACTGAGTTGGAATATACTAATGTAGTCGAAAACATAAAACAACCCAGTCTCCAATAATTCTGGTGACATAAACCTGGCTCAACAGAAATATGCTATTTTTGGCCTTTTTTTCTCTGGGTACACACACTAACAATATGAATAAAATATTTGTTTTAAAATTCATTCAGTCCTTGAAATGTATCTTTGGAATGATATAGAAAATTTAACTTACTATTTAGGGTCTCAGAGATTATATTCTTTAATTTTGTGTCATAATTTTATTTATAAAAATTCAAACGAGTTCTAATAATTACATTTTCATGTAGTTCTAACTAACTGGTTTCAAATCTTATTTTAGCTACAACTTAAAAGAATGAAAAGATGATCTAAAATATGACTGGTTGAAAACCACAATTGTGTATGCTTGTGTAAGCCATTTATGCAAGAGTAAGTGCACAAAAAGATTTTACTTTGAACTTCTGATTTTAAAATCTAAAGGTTATTGCCATATGACTAAATTCTCAAAAAGTGTGAAAATTATATACATACCCCAAGTTCATCTAAAAACATGATCATGCGATGTTTATTGCTTTTGATGAATGGATTAACACCTTCCATATAAGGTTCCTAAAAAATTAAAAACACAGGCCTCATGTGCCTTAACAAAAACTGCTTTACAACAACTATCCATAAAGCAAGAATTACTATATGAAACTTGGTAGAATTAGTAAGCTGTTACAAATTAGAAATCATTAAACATAGCTTGGCAGAAACAAATTATGCATATATTTAGAATTTATTATTGATGAATTATGAAGAATCCAGCATATTGTAGGGAGTTAAGAAACAAAAGAATTTCCTATGATTGCAATGGGACAAAATATGCCATGAATTTCAGATAAATTCAAAAGATGTTACAATTTATCGGTAACACAGTATCAACTATAAACCTCAAATGTTCAATTGGAAATTCCAAAGATGTAGGCATGAAATTTCTAAGACAGGTAATGAAACATAAAGAGGATTAACTTTGGGGCTGGAGAGATGACTCAGTATTAAGAGCACTTGCTGTTCTTACAGAGGACGAGGGTTTAGTTCCCAGCATTCATATGATGGCTCCTGTCATGTTGTAGGAAATATAGTGCCCTCTTCTGGCATAAGCGAGCACCAGGAACACAGCAGAGTACTTATATGCATGCATGCAAAAATAATCATACACATAAAAGTAAATCATTTTTTGGAAAAAGAAAAATTACTGAATTTGGCAAGAAATTAAGAGGAAATTGCCTATTTAGGCAAAAGCCTAAAATGTGTATTTAATTATTAATTATACCCCAAAGTTTACAATCAATCTGAAAGGAAGTATAGAGAATGCATTACATCTAAATATCTGACAGAGGACAGCATACTAACTAGTGGTTGGTAAGAGAGCAGTACATACTTCTGAGTTGGGCAAGGAGTTACAAAAGGAGGTAATTGTATTATTCCAGTATTTACATAGTAAACTGTTTTGAAGATCGAGTATGTTGATTGTGAAATAAAAAGAAAACATTTAAAATGTGGTCAGTGAATTTTAATATCAAAATATTTTTACCTTAGCTCCAAATTCCACAAGGTTTGCTAAATTCTGCACAGACTTAGCCACTAATGTCAGTGTTCTTGCAGCAATAGGAGATGGGGAATCTAGAAGAGAATTGGGTACAACTAATGACACCAACTCCAAAGGTACATTGAGGTAAACCATTATAAATTTAGCACTTTTAGTTTTTCTTTACTCTTATGCACTAACAATCCTTTACTCAGAATATATTCAGAATAGTCTGAAAAAACTGAACACATTTTTAAGTGCTTCTTGTTTTGTGAACTACAAACTTGATTAATTCCCAACTGGCTTATAATATTTCAGAATAGTTCAAAAAGCTGCTTTATTGCTAAGAAGATTGTCACTCTACAAACCTTTCAGAACCATTCACAAGGCTAATTTCAACCCACTTAGGGAACCATTTTGTAATCTTAGCAGTTCCCTGCTTCTAACATTAATAGTTCACTTGAAAGATCAGTTTTTGAGCTCATGAAAAACTTCCCTGTAGAACACGGAAAATGGAATACAGAAAAGTATCTGTAGCTACCAAACCAGAAACTGACAATTAATCCCCTCCCACCCCCGCTTTATTTCTCTTATGTCCTATGCTGGTCTTAAACTCAGTCTGAGACAACCTTGAATTTCTAACCTCCTGCCTTTTCTCCTTCCTGAGTTTCATCAGGTACAAGGCATTGAACCCAGGGTCTCATGTATGCTCTGCCAGCATCCTACCAACTTGAGTTACTTACCAGCCCAAGATTAATAACTTCACATCTTATATTCTGACTGTCAGAATGGCCAATTAAT